TCAGAGGTATTTCATATTATCCGCAGCTGCTGCAAGGTTTGGAGCCAGTTGGCATATGTTGATTAAATAGTTTCTGGGCGACACGGGTGACAAAACTCATCGAATCGGCGCAGAGATTTAATTTTGTGACGAAAGAAGTTCTCGCAAAACGGATTGATTAATGCTTTCTTGACAAGCTTGTGAAGCCAGTGTCTTCCTGTTATGATGCCACGACACAATGACCTCTAGGGGAGGAGGCGTCTTGCAGTGTCGAGTGTTACATAATGCCAGGGACTGTTTCACATGGCTCTTTGACTCTGTTGTGGGGAGACATTGTTTTCTTTACGGGTGCTTCGTTATCATGTATCATTCACCCTCATCGGCGATCATTCAACTTCTCCAGCTTGAGAAGTGCGTCTTTGTTCGTTGAGCAAAGGTATTCCCTGTTTCTGCAATGTAATATTTCCGGCAGTTACACGTTAATTCGTAAACCCAGCCTAGAAATGTTCTATTTAAAGAATCTTACTAACGTAGTAAATTAATTAGAACTGTCATACGCAAACTTAGCACGATATTTAATATTAAGTAACCTTTGCAACTTTTCACTAAGCTTTTGATAAGGTTGAATCAATCAACGTTTATCATTTAGAATATAATTTTTGACATTATAGGTGCCATAATTTCATTCAAAGTTACTGTTTTACGATGCTTGATATTTTATGCATTTCTTTCCATGCCTCTGACCGTATCTTGCTTTAAACGGTGTACGATATTACTGATCAATTTAACTGGAAATCATTATCACATAATATCTATTTAATATGGCCTATTTCTTCACTAAGAAATTCATTACTACAGAAGTTTAGGGGTTTGCTTATTTAAGTTGAAATTGCAAACTGTGTATCATTTAAATAATCATGAGTCAATAATAAGATATTTTTCAGGCTAGTAGATTTGCGATAAATCTTAATTTTAAAGCAATTTTCAGCAAATCATTAAGAAATTAAGAAAAGGTAGACTAGAACTACTTCGTCTTTCAGTGAAGAACTCAATATTTTGAGGGAACAGGCAATAGAGAAGGTCTGATACCACATTTTCACCACCACTGAGACAGAAGGCAAAAAATATCGTCAACATGCTTTCTAAACCCTGAGAAAAAAGTCTGCATTCGTGTCTCGGGCTACATTTTTTTCGAAGCAATTCTTATGCGTTTCGCGATGAACAGAGAAAGAGGAATGCAAATTCGCGCCGGTTTGGCTTTGGTTGTTCGAAGAAACTACCATCTAAGGATAAATAATTCGCTTTAAATTCAAAAGTATGACAGAATTAACTAAGAGGTCAATACGTTGTTTAAGTGAGTTACCTGTTCGACGAATCTGACCAATTATTTTAACACTAAGGTCAACAGGAATATTAGTCAATAAGTTCCGCAACGTCGTAATTGACCATCATGGCACAGCACGCAGCACAACAAGAACATGCTCTCCAATGGTCAGAATCTACCGCCAGCAGCAAAAAATATACCAGCTGCACATGTCAAGGAAGGATCAATCACCCAGTTCTGCGATAATGTGAACCGTGAAAAACAATAAGAACTCTGGGCGGCGTGGATGAACCTTGTTGCCCTAGTGGCCCAGAAACCATTTCACAAGCAGCACGGACCTAAAGTTTGCCTTCTGACCCCAAATCTACTAACAGCTGAGGGCAACAAGAAAAACCTATCAAACTTTACTAACCTAGGAGAAGCTCTAGGATAAAACAGGGGCTGCAACGTCGACAGTAGCCACGATCTAACTGATCATATTTTTGCGTTGTATAAAAATAACCCTTTTAGGCCCCTGAATCTTGGGTGATGCTGCAGTGGCGTAAAATGGTATTGCGAGGATGCACAGCTGTAAGCGAAAAGAGATTTTTCCGTAAAGAAATATGCAAGTTCAAAGGTACACACGTTTAATAACTGCTAGGGCGCAACAGACCAGAGTTGCATAGTTGCTAAAGCCTCGAACACATTGCTTAAACGTCTCGAATTCGAGCTTCAGTCAGGTAACACGCCCTTGTTCCATCGGAGATTAATAAATGAATAATACTTTAGAGGAAAAAAACAGGAAACTGCATAATGTGTTTGCCATCTGCCTAAAATAAGGCACTCCAGGATGATTGAATGGAAATGAAGATCAGCAACCCGCCGTTAACTTCAAGAAAGAAGGACGCCATAGACTGCCCCGTCATGGAAGTGTTCCAGCGGCTACAAGCTTTCCTTTCCTATGGCGTAACGGTGGCAACCGTAGGGAACCGATGGCATAAGTATCTAATAAGTTATGTCGATAACGGTAAACTTCCTTAGTAACAACACCTACTAGTTCTGAAAAGTACTATGGGCACTTAGAAAAATGTTTTTATTGAATGTTCGTCTTCTTCTTAGAAGTCAAAACTGCCCCCTCCCCTCCATAACCATTAAAGATCATCTACCAACAGAAATGCGCTAACACAAATGATATCAACGACATTCTAAAGATACTAGTCACCTAACTGCTACCTTCAAAACGCGATTTTCCTGAACCAGTGATTCCATGCGCTTAGCAAGTTGCTCGCGGGCTGCCGGACTGGGCGGTTTCATCATATTATCGCCCGATGACGTTTCGCCCATGACACTAGACGTGTCGGACTCTGCTTCGGAGAGGTCTGCCATAGTGGACCCTGATCTTTAGTAGAGCACCCACCAATCGTTTCTGAAACAAAAATGTCACTATCAAAGTAAAGCAAACAGTGAGTTTCAGCTTTAGGTATCGACAGAAAACTCGCTAATACAAAAAAAGAATACATCTGTAAAAATATGTCATCCTCTGAGATGGGTTCACAAACCCAGGATGTATACGAGGACTGTTCGTGGAGACACTAAGCGCTTTAAGTAAAAGAAAATCTACCCAACATAAATGATACAAACATAAACATATGTCATGCAAGAAACAAAGGCCCAATGAGTACTATCAAGTAGAAAATGCTGGGAATCGATCAGAACTTCAGGAGTTTTTCCATTAGTTGACAATATCAATTCAATCTACCAGAAATCTTGCCCGGAATTTAAATGTGCAGTGCCTGTCATACTCTGTTTGGACGGTGATCATACGCAGGACACTCATTTTCTTGATTAGTAAATGTTAATTGACTACTAACTAGTCAACTATAGAGATAATTCCCGCCATATGTACTGCCATGTAAAACTCCACGTAAATACAAACACTGACTACCAGTACTTATCAGCAGCACCCAGATAACTACATGTACTCTTCCATGTACATTGTTAATTAGTGTCCATACCTGCCAGTACTATTCATCCATGCTGAAGAAAATACAAGATAGACGAGTACAATATCATGTAACAGAATATGTTACTCTATGCTGTGCCTTGTGTTAAACAACATTCAGCGTATTATTACTACACAGTAGAAAACAGCATAGAGTAACTC